TTTTATTTCAGCTGGAATTATCATTCGCTGAAAAGACTTTTTCTGGGCGTTTTGTATTGAATTTATTTTCATTGATTTTTGACAAGTTGACTGTAAAATATAAGAAAAGGGTATATTTGCTGGATTTTATTTTAACTGAAACATTCCTTCAGCGAAAATAGCAAAAAAATGTTGCAAGCAAAAATAAAGTATTTTACAGTAATTAATTTATTCTGAGCAAGCGCAGCCGTTCTGTCAATGTTGCCGGGAGAGGTAATTTTTGATGAAAATCGTGAAAAAGACCCACTTGAGATTTTCAGATCTGGAAAAAAAATTACGTGCATACTCAGCAGAGACTTGTTCACCAACCTGCCAAGTTTCACTGATATCTGCTGTAGAATTTCTGAGAAAATGTTGGAGACGGAAAAATGGACATAACCTGAATTATAAAGTCCCCTTTTCAGGCTGTGAAATGTTTATTGGTTGTGTATGTGTGTTTCTAATAGAGCAAATATAGTACTGTACACTAACCTTCTTTCTTTTTCCCTAATTGACTGCATTTCACCAAATTATATGTAGTAACAGCTAAAAGAAAATATAAATATATACCTTCAAAGGAGCAACAGCAGCGTAGTAATGTAGTAGCTTATTTTACACATATGCATTATAATAAAGAAAGTTGCAGCAAATAATGTAACATCACGTTTATTTATTATTCCATCACATCTCAAGTCCAATTTGTTTATGTTTAGCAGAACACAGGTGATATGTGTTGGGTTAGTTTAGAAGTGTGATGAATCATTTTAAGCAATCCCAAATTACAAAATTGAGTAGTTTTCTCTGGACCACCAAGAGAATATCAGATTTGTTCTGTCAGGGTTGGAAGTATACTTACATGCATCTTCTTTTTGTGTGAAATAGACAACTTCTTCATCCCTTATAGCCGTACCCCATTTAAATTCTTCTACTCCGTCTCCCAGTGATTGCCAGCCTAATCCAAAATTTGTTGACATCCAAAGAGTTGACTGGTGGGATATACAACAAGTCATTGAAAATGACACAGTCCCCGTTAAGTTCTCTGTGTGCTTGTCATATTAAAGCGGAGGGGTTGTCGAGAGTGTGTCCTTGAAACTTGAGTTCCAAGTGGCGTATACAACAGATTGTTTATTTACATCAAAACACGTGTTTCGTGTCATAGTAATATGGCCAAAATAAAAACAGCCGTTATTCGGCCATCTTTGATCTGATTATGAAACACACTGATATGTATGATGTGCCAAATACGAATGAAAATACATAAATTGTACATAAATTGTAGAAATATAGTAGTAAGGCCAAAAAGTCAGATGGCTGTCAATCGGCCATCCTTGACCAGATTTTGAAACAAATTGTCATGGACATGCATCCTAACATGTATAAAGTACATGTATGTGCCAAATTTGAATGAAAACTGACAGAGCACGTCCAAGATACCGCATAAAAAAACAAAAACAAGATGCCTGCCAGTCGACCATCTTTGATACAATTGTGAAATAAATCG